TGTTTGTTTGGACCACGAATAAACCCTCAAACTCATGTTTGATAAATTCACATTTATTCTAGGAATTGAAACTTAGCCCGATTTAACCTCGGTCATGAAACTCAAGTTCATGAATTTCATGAAACCCATAGGAAATTTCATATATAGATTAATGGGTTTAACATATAAATGACATTTATATCTCATATATATAAATTGGTTAAGAGGTACATAAGTCATTTATATATAAATAAATTATCATAATAGTCATATATCTATGCACATACCAAATATGAGTATGGACAATATTAAATGTTGAAGCCCATATTTGAGTTTGGAAAAATTTGAACAAATCAATCCAAACAACTTCCAAAAAACATACCAAACAGCCTCTAATAGTCACAGTCTAGTTGTATGACAAAATATCTAATGAAACCGTGATATCATGTTAATATTAATGATATGAGATTATTAACTAATAATAAAATTTTAAATGGTTAAAGTGAATCTCACTTAAATAGTTATTATCTTATACAAAAAAAGAGTGAGTAATTATTAACTGAAATAGGATCTGTTTTTGTATTTATTTATTTTATACATTATTAGTTAATGATATCATGTCAATATTGATATATGATATCACCATTGTAATGAATATTTTTCCCTAGTTGTTAGATCATGTCATGAGTTCGAATTTCGTCGTTCTTTCTTGTAATAGTGTTTGACCCTAAAAAAGAAAAATTAGATTAATTTGGCATGAGTTAACATATAAGATTGGAGATAATTTTGTAAATTTTTTTATCTAAATTTAATTTAATTTTTTGGTTAGGCACTAGTACCAAAAAAGGGACAATGAAGTTCGACACCACGATTTGAAGGTCTAATAGGGGCGATAGTTATTAGACCATTTTCAATTAAAATTCAAACTCTTTACTTAAATTTTGAGTAAAAAACAGTGTAAAAAAATTGATTTGATATAGACCTCTGCAATAGAGAAATCCAAATTTTAAGGAAGATAAATCTAAATTTAAATTAGGACAAATCTAAATTTAAAAAAAAGTACAATATGACTATTAGATCTTTAAAAAAAATAGTGAAATATCACCATTAGATATTTAGGTATGAATTTGAGTATCTCTTAAGTTAAGTAAAAAAATAAGTATTCTTTTATTTGATATTACTATTGGTCTAACATTAGAAAAAGTTTTTATAAATTTTTTACCCAAATTTAAATTTAAGTTTAAAGAAGGATAAGTATTGGAGATGATTTTAGGCCACCTACTAATTTCACCCAAATTTAAATTAAAATAAATATATAAAGAACTTAATGACCGTAAATGTTCGGCCGAAAAAGGGGCCTCCTACTGATTGGGTCGCCCTGGCCATAGGGCTGATCCCGACAGCCCAACTTCATTGGCCTAACTAGAAATTACCTTTTCAAGGATATATTGTTGCGCTGGGGCATGGTTCAAACNGACCGTAAATGTTCGGCCGAAAAAGGGGCCTCCTACTGATTGGGTCGCCCTGGCCATAGGGCTGACCCCGACAGCCCAACTTCATTGGTCTAACTAGAAATTACCTTTTCAAGGATATATTGTTGCGCTGGGGCATGGTTCAAACCCGTTTGGAGACCCTTAACCTTAAGAATGAATAAGTAATTCTTGGTTATTTTTTCTAAAATATTGATGAACCCAGATCTAATTGGGTCCAGATCCAGTTCATGGAATAAGCCCAAATTAGTTACAAAGCAGGTCAAGTCTAGCTCATAAATTAGACATAGTCCAAAGTTCAAAGAGTTTAGGAAGATTAGTGCACGTGAGAAATAATTATCGGAATAGTCACTCTCCAAGATTAAGACTATCTCTAATTGTACCAATCATTAGCTGTAGTTATCCACTTCGAAGGACTAGTTATCTATTCCTTCACGCCACCGCTTCGACCAAGGCTCTATGCCTATAAATTGAAAATCATTTTCATATGAGAGGGGCATCTCTCTATACATCTTACATAGGTATCTCTCTCATAGCTACCAAGAGAATACTTTTGCTTTCTCTTTCTCTCTCACCTACTACTTCAATTAATAAAGATGATGGGACATTTCTGAGGAAGGATTGAGATTTGACACGTGTCTTCGGCACCGAAGGACACTCAAACTCTTTGACGAAGCCACGTGTCCTTGGCACCAAGGACACCAAGCTCTCTAAATGAAGACACGTGTCCTCGGCACTAAGAACACTCAAGCGCTCAGGTAAAGCCATGTGTCCTTAGCACCGAAGACACCTCAGGCTCTATGATGTTAACCTGTCTTCAGCGCGGTTAGATCCCGAGGGTACTTTTCAAAATGCCACCTTGGCTCCCGGGAGGATCTTTGACAGTTACAACCTATCAATCCCAGAGTTAGACTATGAATCATTGGTTTGTCTTCCCTATGAAGTCAAAATGGCAGAGTGAACTGGACCAGCAACCAAGGGGAGTCAAATGCGTGGCATAGTGTACAGGTTAGGTGTGAATTGACAGAAATATCCCTACTGACATGCAGCCATCGAGAAGAGCATTCAATGGATCCTCAGAAAGATGTGACGTCCATGGTGGCTTAGGAAGTCTAGAAAAAGTAGCATTAAATACTTAAGGGACCTAGCATTTAATGTCTATGCATTTAAGAAAAAGCATTGAATGCTCGGGGGCTAGGGAAAAAGACATTAAATGCTCGGGAGGCCAAGTATTTAATGTCTGAACTTAGTCCCTGCGAAAGAGGAAGGTGTGCTGCCCAATGACTGGGTACTACATACTACCTACTAGCCTGTGATGATGACCTCCATAGAAGGTATAAATAGTCTTCTCAAACTCAGCACAAAGGTACACAAAATCACTTCTCAGAACATACACAATGTCTTTCCTTGTCCTCTCTCACAAAAACTAACTTGATCATTGGAGGAGATATGCCGAAAAACATTCCGTTGCCCTTTCCAACCCATCTTTTGTGTGCGAGGAACCACCTTCAACTCACCGAGATCGATCGGACAGCTCCTAAAGCAATTCATCACCACTTCTTAGGCCCCCTTTGGCCTCCCTTTGCCGCCAAAACGTCAACTTTTGAGGTAAACACAAGTTCACCAAGATAGAGAGCTATTTTTATTTGTTTATTGCGCAAAAAATATCCTATATAATTTGGCACCGTCTGTGAAAAATTGACCAAACTTCTCGAAGAACAGTGACCATCGTGAATACTCGTCAAAAGAGAAAGGGTCCTCAGTAAAGGAATATGGATTTACCGGCTTTCTCCATATCAAGAACGAAATATCGCAGTGAAAGTGTCAATAGGGAACTTTCCATCCATTCTAGAGATCAAATCCACCAAACTAGTATGAGTATTGGGTCTGGAAAATCAACCCCGTTGGCACGACAACTTGCTGAAAGTGATTGAGGATCAGTTCAGGGATCGACAACGATAGTTAGAAGAGGAAAACATGAACGTCCTAAATCAACTCGATGAGTTTGCACTCTCCGGCAGAGGATCTCGAGACTTAAGGCAATTGCAAGAGCCCTTCGTCAGGGAAGCGAGAGGTCAAGACTTGAAGAACTTCTTGAGTGGAGGAGTGGGGAGCTCTAAGGCTCTGAAGTGCTCGAGGGCCAAGGGACAGCTCCTAGAGGTCCCAGCCAAGAAGACTAGGCCATTGGCTTAGAATGAACTCCATCGGAGATTGTCCGGGCGAGGGGGTGCGAAGGAGTCCAAGGAGGGGTTAACCCTCTCCGTGCGGAACCCTAGATTTGGGGGTTATGCCAACCGACGTCGAGATGGTGGAGAAGTGGGTCCCCAGCAGAGGGGAGACCTCAGAATGCGATTGGACTCTGCAAGAAAGGATAGGGCCACACCATAAAATGACACGGATGACGTGGCTATTCAGTTGCCCTTCACCAAGAGTATCATGGATATGGAAGTACCAAAAAAGTTTGCGGTATCAAGGTTTAAAGTTTATGATGGACGATCTGACCTAGAAGCTCATATCAGACAATTTAAGCAAATGATATCTTTGTATCACTCGGACCACCGACTATTATGCCGGGTGTTCTTAATGAGCTTGGGAGACTCTGTTATTAAGTGGTTTGAAAGCCTTCTACCCAACAACATAGGGTCTTGGAAAGAGCTAACCAGACAGTTCTTTACCCGATTCATTACAAGGAGTAGGTGACTCAAAGACGTTGGATCATTACTGAACCTGAGACGGAAGGAAGGTGAAACGCTCCTCCAGTACGCCACTCACTATTGGGGGGAGGTGTAAGACCCTGTACTAAAATTAAATAACAATACTAATATCTTAAGAGTTTTCCAAATATGAATAAAATGAGGATAAAAACTTAGAATCATTGTTGAAATATTAATCATGAAGTTTGAGTTTCGAACGGATTGACTTTTGGGTCAAACTTAATTTTTTTTTTGGATGTGTTTAAGATTGATAAGGGTAACTAAATAAATATATTAATTTTTTTTATCAAAATAACATTACCATTGAATTCGGGAGGTCGGAAAACATTGGGAGAGGTAATATGGGATGTATTAGAAGTTAGGAAGTATTTTAGA